AAAGAAAGAAAACAATCTTTCTTTTCTTTTTAGCTGGATGCCTGTGCCATATACCTGGCCAACAGAATAAACAGCAGTCACTAACCATGCCATGTTGAAAAGAATGGCAGTTAATCCAAGAGACACCTGCAGATGTTCAGTTCACCAGGAAACCCTGCAATATATCTTTGGAGGGTGTCTGAATTCGTCTTTTATTTATGAGTGTAGTGTCTCTTTGCTTGCTTGGGTCATTATTTTCGGTGTACATTTTACAGTCTGTTTTTGCAGATGGTTTGTGTATAGCCAGGGCACTCAAGCTGAGTTATGTGGTGCTGTGTAAAAGGCTTCCTACAAATATTTTGCAGCGACTACCTAAGGGAGGAAGAGAAAGTTCAAAAGAACAGGCAGGAGAGAACCAAAGTTAAAGATCAGTCGGAATCAAAGGCAATGGGCACAAAGTTACTCAACTGTTGTTCGTGGTATATGAGACGCAAGGTCCTTTACACGCCTCTCCAATGTACCCTCAAAGCAATATGCTTGAAGTTTCAATTGAACACATGTGGAACTGAGCCTGGGAGAGTAATTTGCCCAAGGCCTGTCAGGAAGTCTAAAGCTAAGTGGGATTTGAAGTCAGGCTGCTAAGTCTGTGTCTACAAACATGTTGTCCTCTGTCTTCCCACAAGACACACACAACCACAAACCCCTTTTCACCTAACATGGCAAAATAACATAAAATGGGGGATTCATAGAATTCCAGAAACAGACACACAGAACCTTTCTACATAATGGTTTCAGTTCAGAAGTTGGATAGTTGAAGCAATTCACCATTTCAGGAATGAGGACTCCCATCAAAAAGTTCAGAGCGTGAGGGAAATAACAGTATATGTTTGGGGAAGCCTGCAGTGTTTCTCCTGGGAGAAAGTCCGACTATTTTGTTTCCACTAGGAACAATACAGGGGGGCGGGGATCACAGCAAGGTTGTCCAATACAAAGTTGACTGTTTTTGTGAGCACAACATCTTGTAAACCAGTCACTTCCTTCTTCCCACATATATTTGCATTGTTGCAACCACTGGCTCTAACTAGCAAACAGCTAAAGTTCATTCCATTAAGCTAATTCAAAGAGATGCCTATTAACCAACTTGCCCACATCTTGATCTATTTCTTAGTGGAAAAAACAGCTTAGGAATATTCCCCTATCTTTTGGGGGCATAAGGCCAGTCTAGTTTGGCAACAAAGAACTCATTGCCTAGTAACATTTGCATTAGTATTTATGTTGAAGCGGATCATGGAAGACCCATAGCTCAGTATATACATTCATGCAGAAGGTTCCATGTTTAATCCCTCGCAGCATCTCCAGGTAAAAGGATCAGATAATAGGTGATGTGAAAAATCTGTCTAAGACCTTAGAGAACCACTGTCAAAACAGACAAATAGTAGAAGTTAGTTTCCTATGCTGCTGTCATGGAAAGGTGTTGAAGGATAGGCTAATATATCATATGGTATGTTGAGGGTGTCTTTTTGAAGCAATGCTCATTGTTGTAACTCAGACAATCAACCTTCAGCTATCAGCAGATTGTCTTATGCACCATGACACACCCCTCCTTGATAATTCTGTGGTTCATGATCTTATAATCAACAGTGCTCACTGGAGACTCTGGGTTTTAACATTTTCCAGCTGCTGATGGTTCTGGGTATGTTTCCATTGAGTCTGTGTGTATGTACACATAGCCAGAACATGCCCATATGTTGAAATAGTCTGGGAAGGTGTAGCAGCTTCTGTGAGGTTTCCTGTGTTCTGGCTCAGTAACAAATGGAGTTTAAGAGCATGCTCTCCTGGACCAACCCCAGCTGCTCGTTCACACTGCTTCGGTAATGACCATCATTCATGGGTTACGTTGCATCATCAAGGCTGATGCTCCTCCTTGTGATTTTGTTCACTAGTGGCTGGTCTGGTGCCTTGGCACCCGGGGCCAAAAGATATCACTAGAAGGTCTCGGGTTGCCTCTGCTCCAGTGGCAAGAATGCATGGCAGAAAGGTGAGATGGTCATAAACAGTATGTGAAGAAATGAAGGCACATGCATTTGGAAGAGTTGTGAATAGCAATTCACACACACACACAAAATGAATTTGGTTACAATGTAAGGCGTGATGTGCACTGATGGCAAAGCAACAAGTATATGGAATACAAATGCATGATCAGGTACATATGCTGTCAGGGAAATAAGTAGTCTCAGAAGAAGCTATGGGAACCTCCAGAAAGTTCAAATGGGGGTGGTCAGTGATATTTTAATAAACTGCTAATTGCCTATGACATGGAAAATCGTGGTGGAGTTCCAGATTTAGTGGCATGTCTAACCTGTGGGGCTGCTTAAGAACAGCTGTCACTTTTTGAGGAAGGAATCCAGCCAATTTCCCCATTCATTTGTTGCCAAATGCTCCAAATCCCCAGCCAGTTCCGTGCAATGACTGGCAGGTCACAGGAAGGAGAGCCAACTAGCTGCCGTACACGATTTTTAAAATCCCAGCATTTACTGCCGTCTTACTCTCTTTGCCCTACAATGAAGGATGTCAGTCTAGCCGTGCCTTAACATTGTGATTGTTTTTTAACTGTTCAGTTTACAGCTGTCGTCTTCTATCAGGGAAAAAAATATCAAAGAGGTCAAAAGTCTCTGGTAGCCATTACTGCAGGCGGAGAAGAGCAACCTGTCCTGTCTCCCACCCAACACATGTAGACAGAGGCTCCTACTTGTAAGTAAGGAAGTGATCTTTATTCAGGCAAGTAATAGTACAGTCATGGCAGCAGACTCAATGTTCAGGAGTTCAAGAGCAGGGCAAGAAGTTGAGAACTAGATGGAAGCCATGAAGACGTCCCAACAAGTTTCCCCACCTCTCCCATCAGCTTTTAAATATGAAGTGTGGCGTGCTCATTTGCAATACTCTCTTGGGAATGTCAAGACTGCAGCTGCAAACCTCTGACCAGGTGGGTGGTCCACCTTTCTATCCACAAAGGTAGACCCTCATTCTAGGCAACAAGGCCACACCCTCCTGTTCAGTCATTGCTACCTACCTCCCTGCCACTGCCAGTCAGCCTCCCTGGCCCCATTGGCTGAACAAAACTCTCTCCACCCTCCACCGAGGCTCTCCACTCTGCAGAAGATTGGAGAAGAGAGCCATTGTCCCTTCTCCTCCTTCCAAAGCAGCTGAAGTTCGTGTGGAAAGGGAGAATTCCCTGCTCCTCCAACTTAGGTTCCCGTAACTCCCTCCGATTCTTTCATTTCCACCTCCTGCATCAATGTCTGCAAACCAAAGCACATTCCCAACTCCAGGGCTCTTGACACAACACTTTTCTTTCAACACTCTCAAGGCATTTGACCATTGCTCTGTAGACAGATAATCTGACTGGCTCCTTTGTCCTTAACCCTTGGTTTTACTTAAACATGGGTACTGTTCATTATCTTACATTCTTATCACCATTCCCCCCCTCCCCCGATCCTTAGTGCTTCCTTTGTGCTCTACAAGTCAGCTGCATTGGTCATGATCAAGTTGCTACTGTGCTCTGTTACAAAATTATATATAACACCCTGTCCGTTTTGTCCATGTTTTCATTGTTACAGATTGTGGTAATTTTTGTCCTAGATAGAGCTGTTCCAACTCATCTCTGCATTTACGGCTCACTCTCTTTCTCCAGATGAAGTATATGTCCTCTGCCTCGCACATTACTTTCGCGACAAGGGATTAGCTATTTCTGGAAACTGCTCTGTTCCCTGGCTCAACTAGTCTTTTGTAGTTCGGGCTGCATCTCCCCCTACAGCTATTTATACTGTTCTGATATATATGACTTCCTGAAGGCAAAGGAGACAGCTGCCACAGGTGTCAAAACCACCACAAAGATTCCATAGGTCATTGGTCGTCATGTGATTTTGTTGGTTCTTTTACTAAAGGGGGTGGGGTAGAGGGTGCAAAGAGGATGCCATGACAAGAGGATTTTGTTTGGAACATGTCACAGTTGTAATTACATTGCCCAAGAAGAGAGTTAGATTATGCAGCTCATAATACCATGGTGTAGGTAAAGATTTCCCTCCTCTAAGACCAGTAACACATGGTCGCTCTTGGTTTTACTGATGACTGATAGCTTAGACAGCAAACAAAGACTCAAAGCTCACCTTCCACATGGATAACAATATAAATAAGGTTCTTGCCCATGTTTCATTCATGTGCAGATTTCACACACACTTCCAATGGAGGGTGGCCGGATCTTGGCAAAGTACATAAAGCCCAGACATTTATTGAGGGAGGATGAGAAAATGAGACACATACAATAAAACTATTTTATTTTCTTTCCTGAGAAAGGGAGAGAATAAAACTTGAAATTTTCAGGCTATGAGAAGTTTTGACCAGAAAAATTGCTAGGCAAAAGACCAGGCAACCAGAACCTGAACACCCAGGTCAGCTACAGCTAGGAATTGGGGAATCTGGGTTTGTGAGTTTTGGGGGATGTGTGTGTGTGTGTGTGTGTGTGTGTGAGAGAGAAAAATATCCTAATGAAACATCATCCACATTTTAGTGTGAATTTCTCCTAACAGACACATTTTGTATTCAGTTTTGCCTAATATAGACATTTCTGCAAGGCCATTTCCCCCATATAATGCATTTTCACCAATATAAGCATGCATCACTCTGCTATATGCATTTATATACATAAAGTGGCTGCATAAATGCTCTGCAACATCTGGAGAAGTATGAAGATTCAAGGATGACGTTTCAAGCCATTTGAGTTTGCATATTGTTTTAGAAAGTGCAGAGCAGGTAGGTTTGCCTTTAAATGCAACCTGAATCAGAGTTCTCCTCCATCCACTGCAACCAATTAATGAACAATCTACTCTACAATGCTACAAACATGGTTTGTTTGTTTTTCAATCACAAGCTCAGGCAGTGCCACTCGGATTGTAGCCAAAATGGGGCCACCCCAAGGTTTAAAGGTAGTGCAAAAATATTTTTTTAAAACCTAAGGGGACAAACTTGGTAGGTGGATGATCTAAAATTAACAGCAGGGCTTATATGGATGCAGACAGCAAAGAACAGAGAACGTTGGAAAGAACCTGAAGAGGCGTATATCCAAAGATGAATGTGAGATACTGGAGGAGGAGGAGATGATGAGAATTAAAAAACAACAACAGCCCAATTAGGACTAGCAATGCATAACAGCATAACAGTTGGAAAAGGAAGAAGAAAAAGAACACAGCAGGGTGGGAGGACGGAAAGCCAAGCCTGGAGGGAATTAATCCTTGATCAGCAGCACTTCTTTTAGACAGGAGGACAACATTTTATTGCAGCTCCCTCAAACTGTTGGTAATAATATAAAAAGTCTGTCTATTTTTTTGTTATAATGCTTTTATTTATCATGTTGTTTTAATGTACAGTGGTACCTCGGGTTAAGTACTTAATTCGTTCCGGAGGTCCGTTCTTAACCTGAAACTGTTCTTAACCTGAAGCACCACTTTAGCTAATGGGGCCTCCTGCTGCCGCTGCGCCGCTGCTGCACGATTTCTGTTCTTATCCTGAAGCAAAGTTTTTAACCCGAAGTAATATTTCTGGGTTAGCGGAGTCTGTAACCTGAAGCGCATGTAACCTGAAGCGTATGTAACCCGAGGTACCACTGTACTGTTTTCTTAAGTTGTGTTTTGCTGTTGTCTTGGGATTTGTAGGAAGGGTACTATAAAAATATATGGCATACATAAATAGGAGAAGTAGAGAGAGAGCTTGTGGAATGTAGTGCAGAGAAAATCCTATGCGAGACAGTATCTTTCACTGGGTATGGCCTGAAGGCACATGAAACTACCACTTTGCTGAAGCTAAGCTAATCTGGGTCTGGTCAGTGCCTGGATGAGAGACTGCCTAAGAACCACATGCCTAGAAACAAAGGAAAAGTAGCATATAACTGAAAGAAAATAAATAAATAACATTTCTGTAGGACCCTGCCTATAGGGACTGGATAACCCAATGGCTGGAGCAGGTTTTACTTTTACCTCAGGAACAGGGCCAGTCCTACCATGGGACAAAGGGAGGCAACTATGTTAGGTGGCAAGTGTCATGGCAGTGGCAGCCTTCCCCATTATGCCTCCTCAGGCACCAACATTTATTGGGCCAACCAATCTCATAAATACCATGACCTTTACTTTCTGCTTTGGAGGTGCTGTGAATAAATTTTATTCCAACATCAACAGTATCTCCAAGAGATATTTATGTTGCATTCAGGCATGATGCATTAACTGTGCACTGTTCCCTTAAGAACAACATGGACTTGGGGCTACCCACTTCTCTCTATTCCTGTGGACTTCTGCTGCCCTGTGCTTTAGATTCCTGTCAAGGAGTTGTTGTTTTTAAAAAGTATGCACACATAGACATTTTTTTTTAAAAAAAGAACTTTTTCTATGTTACCAACCCCTACTTTGAGTACGAATGAGTAATTAACAGGCAACAAAATAGTGAATGGTGACCATTTACTTCTATGGTATAAAATGCAGTGGGTATGTGCAGCCTTTAAAGTGAAGAACACAGCTCACCAAAAGTGAACATCAATCAAAGAACTTGCATTATGCAGTCTAGGATGTTGTCACAACCCACATAGTCTTTATCAATCTATATACCTACCTACCAACCTGTTCTCAGTTTCAGTGCGGAAGGCAAAACTGACATTAATATTTCTTAAACACACAAAATCAGATTTTTTTGTTTGTTTTTGTTTTAAAGGTAATGTTGGGATTAGACTGATAAAAAGCTCATCCTATCATACCGGGTGAAAGTGCTTGCTTCCATTGATTACAAAATGACAAATCCTCTTAAAATCCCAGCAGGATCCTAACCAATTTATGGACACCACATCTCAAAGGTCAATCGCCAAAGGACATTCGGAGAGCAGTGCAGTTACCATATTGAATGTCCTTTTCAATACAAAGAGCAACTGTAATTGCTATTGGCTCTGCAGGAGGGAGAATTCACATTATGCCTGTGAGCCGCATAGCATCCCTCAGCAACACCGTTGCCATGTTACAGGAAGACAAGGAGGAGGCAGCTTCACGGATACAAAGGGTTTTTGTTCTTCAAGCAACAAGTCCCCATTTCAGCACCTGGTCTCCTTAAGAAAAAGTCAGGGCCTAAGCACCAGGCAAAGCCTACCTAGGCAGATGCCTTTTCTGGGCTCTTATACCTATCTCTGAGACTCAGAATGGAGTGGTGGGCAGCTGGACTGCCACCATTTTAAACTCCCCACAGTGTGCCCTGGAAGGATGTTACATTGGGCCATTATTAGAATAATTAGATAATTAGAATAGTCACATGTACCTGTCACAGAGCATGATGGTGGTGGTGCTTGAGGGGACCCATAGAAAGCATTTTGCCAGGCCCCCTCACACCTAAAGCTAGGCCTGTGAGAGACATTGTCTAAGATGGAGTATATTTATAAATGCTACATTACACTGATTTGGGAACAACAGCTGGAGGTCCATGAATCAAATCTAGCCCAAGAGGTGCCCTCTGCCCTTTAAAGTTATCTAGACCGAGACCCAAAATCGGAAATTTTATTTTAATTTATTTTGCTGTCGACTGCCCAGTCAGTAGAGCATAAGACTCTTAATATCAGGGTCATGGGTTTCGATCCCCACATTGGATGAGAGATTTCTGTACCGCAGGGGGTTAGACTAGATGGTCCTCATGGCCCCTTCCAACTCTATACTTCTATGACAGCAAGCCATTTTGGAAGCTGGGAACTAGGCACTGGCTGAGAGGTCACCATGCGCTTTGGTCTTCTGGTCTGAAAGCAGGCTCCTCACTAAACTACTTGCTGACAGAGAGATAAATGCCTTCCTGGAGGCTGCAAGAGCAACTCTCAGTGTGCGCCCAATTCAAAGCGATTACCAACCAAATTAAAATAAATGAACAAACAAAATAATCAGCGTTTTCAGAAACTGCTACTAGGCAACCCTTCCCTCACAACACATCCTTTGGCACCATGTAACATAGATTCAATAAAAAATAACCCCCCTCCCCTGCACCCCAGCTGTAGCAATCAGGATTGCAAAAACTGGCCGCAATTTGTAAGAGAGACAGATTTAGGAAATTACATAAAAACTTCAAATTAACCAGCCATTTTTATTTATTTATCGAAAATTGGAAATGACCACATATGCCTAATATCTGAACAAGAAGATATAGTTGGGTGGGGGGGTGAGGTAGGGAACAAAACTTCATCTTCACAAAAATGAACCTCTAAAACACCCCTAGGGTACATATATACCATACACTTAAAGCACATTCTCACTCCCCCCAAGGGGGTGGAATGGGGTCAGGGACGGAACAGGCCTATACGTGAGCACTGATGCGGGCAATGATCCGGAACGCAACCCTCACACAAATGGGGAGTTACCTATAGTTCTACATGAATGTGCCACCCGCTCAAGAATTTCTGCTTCAACGATGGAGCATTCTGCCCCTCTCTTCTGCCCACGCACCCTTAAATCTGTTCTGATGGGTCCCCCAGATACTTTGAAGCCAATGTGAGGAAAGCGTGGGATATGCACAGGGAAAGGAAGTTCGCTTGCGCAAGCATAAACCCTTGCACCAACTGAACGAGGGCACCGGATGCCGCCCTTTGCCATGGCATCTTTGAATGTGAGACAATGAGGTGGATTTAGATGGGGCCACCGATAAGAAAATTGCAATAGCTCCCAGTGGATTTATAAAAGGGGCCAACATGCCACTTAATACGTCATCTAAATACCTTTATAAATAATGGGAAGGATTCAAATTGTAACTTGAGACTGTCACCATCACTCACTTTATGCAGAAGCCTGTAGAATACCCTGAAAAGCTCAATGGAAGGGAATCCACCTTGCATGCCAGAGGTCCCAGAGTTCCATCTCCAGGTAGGGCTTAGAATGTCCCCTGCCTGAAAGCCACTGTAGACAATATTGAGCTTGATGGACCAATGGTCTGACTCAGCAGCTCCCTATGTTCTTATGTAACCAAAGCAATAGGAGTGGCTCCAGTTAGAAGCACAAAATGGAAGTGCCAGAAGGCCCAGGCATGGGGCTCTTTGGATCCAGGCCAACAGAGTACTTCTAAGTGCTATAGGCTGCATATCTGAGCCTCCTCCATCATATGCTGGGAGATGCTGCAAGAGAGAGGCAATGAAGCATGCAATGAAATTGGTAAACAAAGCAGATAGCTTAACTACTACTGTATATCATCACAGCAATCTGTTTACTGGAACAAGATAACATTGAATTTGCATGTTTGAAGCCAAACAGTCATGCAGCTTGCAAATCAAGAATGAAACAGTGGGCAATTACAATAAAATTCATTATTCAAGAAATGTCCTTAGATGAATTCCTTATTCGCTCATTGCATTCTTTTAAAATTCCTAAGAATGTAACTGAAGTGTTTCTAACACAATTCTCTACCTAAATAAAATAATGCAATTTCTGTGAAACTGTCAAATGTAATTGCATTAACAGAAAGCGATACTACTTGCATTCACTTAATTGAGTGTTTCAGAAACAGTTAATTCAAACAGACTCCGCTCATTACCAAATTGAGTTTTTAAAGCCAATGTGTTTTTTCTCCACCCCCCCCCTCTCTCTTATGCACACATCCTAAACCAGAGCCCCATGAACAGCTTAATTAGGTCTTATAAGCATGAGCTATCCTATTAATTTCAACAGAGTGAGCACATCTGTGCATGCAAAGGATAGGTATACATGAATGGGGCTGTGCTTGGAAGCAGCAAACTCCAGTAGCACATCAGAGATCCCAAGTACACAAGGAACTACTGTGCTGAAACACCCTCTCAAGGTCATTATGGACCACATGCTTCCCTGGGCAAGGACCATCTTTGGTGCTCCTTTCCATTTGTTCAACTTTTGAACGATATTTTTTAATCCCATTTTGTAATCTCATGTCTTTGATGCACAATTTTCAATCCCATTTACCCTCCTGCTATTTAAAATGATATACAATTTCATGCATGGAACTGATCCACAACCATGCGCATGCACACTCTTTATTTTTTTTATTTAAAATGTTCATGTGCCACCCAATAACTAAGGTTCCCAGACTGATAGAATTATAGAGTTGGAAGGGCTCACAAGAGTGATCTAGCCCAATCCATTGCAATGCAGAAATCTTTTGCCTGGCAATGTGGGTCTTGAACCCACAACCCTGAGATTAAGAGAAGAAGAAGAGGAGGAGGAGGAAGAGTTTGGAATTGATATCCCACTTTATCACTACCCGAAGGAGTCTCAAAGCGGCTAACATTTTCCCTTCCCTTCCTCCCCCACAACAAACACTCTGTGAGGTGAGTGGGGCTGAGAGACTTCAGAGAAGTGTGACTAGCCCAAGGTCACTCAGCAGCTGCATGTGGAGGAGCGGAAACACGAAGCCGGTTCACCAGATTACGAGTCTACCGCTCTTAACCACTACACCACACTGGCTCTCACGCTCCATCAGTCTCACGCTCTATCAGCTGAGCTATTCTAATGGACAATTACCAGTAGAGACATGAAGTCTAAACACAACAAAACCAACAAAAGCACAAATCCAAAACACAAGGAAATTACGTCAGTGCAAAGCCTTTAAAAAGCACTGGAATACTCTTAGCTTTGAAAGCTGGGGTGGTGGTCCTAGCATCCAAAAGATCGCAATGGAGGAATCAGGCAAGCCTCTCTGGGGAGGAAATTCCACAAAGGTGCACCACCACTGAAAAGGTCCTTTCCACATTTGGCAGAGGCAGCCGTAGAAGGGCCTCAGAAAATGATCCTACAGTGCACCTAAGTATACATGAGAAGAAGCTGGCAAGTGGCCACTGGCTAGAGACATTTAGAACTTTTAAGGTTAATACCAGCACTTTGAATTGGACCCAGAAACAAACTGAAAGCCCTCACAGATGGCAAAACGCTGGTGCAATATGGTTTGTGGAATGGGCAGTGGTGTTGTAAGCTTTCTCCACACAGAAATCAGTTTAAATCAGGGTGGGGGAAGTTGTGATCCTCCACATGTTACTGGATTACAATTTCCTTCCTCTTTGGCCATTGACCATGCTAGCTGGGGCTCCAACAACATATGCAGAGTTGCAGGTGCCCCATGCCTGATTTAAAGCAAACCCCACCCTGCCCAATATTTGTGTGCAGTGTTAAAATTGCAAGAGAAGCCATCACATCACCTGTTATAACTTGGATAGAGGGATTCTCTTCACCTCCCTCTCAGTTGTTCATGGAAATAGTTGCTAACATTCACCCTATTCGTTTTTTTACAGGACAACATCATGGTGTCTATTTAGCGTGTCTGTTAAGAAGACATGTCAAAAGTAATGCTTAGTTCTCATTGAGGTGGCAAACTGCATCTTAGGTTGGAGAAGAAATTCAATACAGCTTGCGATTAAAGATCAACCTACCAAATTATCACTTTTGAAACAACCCAGCCATCCTTCAACAGTCACACATCTACAGATTTTGCAATGTAGTTCCCCAACCAAGCAATGTCTACAAAATGCATATACTTTGGTAAAGTGTACCTTAAAATGCAGATATAAAAAAAATAAAATACAGAAATGTCTTATTTTAGGGGAAATTGCTTTGCAAAAATGGGTATATTACAAAGAATTACATTCACACACATGTATATGGGGGGGAATTGCACACAAATGCTTAAGAATTTTCATGAGGACTTTTCTTTAACACAAAGTGATATAGAGTACTGAATTTAAGACCAGCAAAATGGTAAACTGATAAAAACTGATAAATTCACCCATCCCTACTTGTGTCAGAGCCATAGCACTCTAAACAAAGCAAAAGAGGACATACAGGTAAGCTCTTTGATTATTATGCTTTGGAGAAGGGAGCAGCACACAGAAAATGAGCATGTTAAAGAGAAAGCTAGACAAGTCCTTTTTCTTGAAATGCTAGCTTTCTATGTGCAGGAAATTTGGTGGGGGATGGATGAGTTATCCAAGCCCAGACATGGCTTTACCACCTCAGCGAGAAATAGGCTATGATACCTTTATCCGATAAGCTTTAAAGGCATTAGTCTCGTTGTTTAAGTCTAAGAGGTGAAAACGGCAAACACAGCTTGCTTTTACCATTCACTCGTCCTTAGAACAAATTTGTCCTCTACAAGATTACAGTAAGTTGCGAGGAGTGTAAGGTGTCAAGAAAGAGCAAGAAATCCTTTATGAAAATGGACAGGGAGACAGTGATGAATGGCAAGAAATCAAGACAGCTAAAGTGATGAGAATGTTTGCACACACACACACAAAAAGGTCTCCCAGCTCTCACATAACTGATTCTGCTTTATAATGAATTTCAAGTCCACCAGCCTAATCACAGTAGGCCCATTCTGTTTCAAACTGTCCTTGTTTTATCCGAGTCAATGTCTCTCCTTATTGCCTCATATGTCATCCAGCCATAAGGCAGTTCTCCTACTGTCTCAGTACCAATCAACTGTCATATTCTGTTCTTACATCAAGACATTTCACTCTTAGTATATTAAACATGCTAAGGAGCATTCAGAGCATTCACAGGCATAAGTTTGTGTCATTAGTGTTAGCTTTTTAATACACTGCTACATATACAAATCAGCATTGTGGGTGAAGTATCGACTCTCACTGGCAAAACTTGTTAACTGTTTGGAAATGGATTCTGTGACAGCATCTCCCAAACTGTCCATTTTGGGACAACCTATTGGCAGACATACTTTAAAGACAAGGCATCCCATATCTCTGTTTCTTTAGTCATTTTCTGTTGAAGTAATTATTTGGATTTTTGACTGACTTCAGGTGCAATATCAAGAATTTGGCAAGGCAGCAATCTGGGCTCCCTGCAGGGTAATTTCCTAGAGATGTGTCATTAACGTAAATAAATTACTATTTTCCAATTCTATTATAATTGCTTTTTGGTAATTTATTGATTGTATGTTTTATTCATTGGCCTGGTTTGCATGTAATGCTAAGTCAACTTACGACTTAGTGAGAATGAGCAAATGTGTAGGTACCCAGGGCAAAAATTGTGACTGTTCCCCCCACCTCCTGGTCCTGAAGCTGCCAGATTCCTAAATCCAAGCCACGGCTCAGCTTAGCAGTTTAGGTGCAATTCTGAGCTTGGTTTATTTTGCTTCCAACAAGCCATGGACTGTTATGTAGTCAAGTTTTGTTCTTGTTTAATCACTCAGATTGTCTGGGGTGCAGTTTTGGAATAACCTGAATAAAACCCTAGGTGGATTCTGATATCTCATAACTCCTAGAAAAACAAGCAGTAGGCTTCTAAACATTACAATACAGTCTGGTGGCTGTTTCTCAATAAATTAATTGCTTTTATTACCCTGCGTTTCCTGATAGAGTCCTGATAATGTTGTATCACTACTAAATGTAGGACATGGAATAGGGTTAGGTGATGCAAATGAATGCCTTCTGTACATGGTGGTCCACAAAATCACCAGGAATCCATACCCAGATGCCTGCATATACTAGTCATCTCATTCATCTGGTACACAGCTAGCTCCCCCTGCAGGGATGACTCCTGTAAATGCACCCTATGCATATAGAGCTCAATGTGTGTAGGCCAAAATTGCACACTCAGTTACCAACCCCCAACCCCGGAGCATATCTGTCAACTTTTCCCTTTTCTTGCGAGGAATCCTATTCGGAATAAGGGAATTTCCCTTTTAAAAAGGGAAACGTTGACAGCTATGCCCCAGAGATGGACAGCAAAACCTCAGTCTGCGTGCATGTTGGATTTTATGTGTACCCCGCCCCAACAGAGCCAGCACACGTGATAAGTGAGGAGTAAAGTCACTTCATTTTCTGATGTGTTAAATAAATGACCAATAACTTTCAGATCAGTTTATATTTGAAATATGCAACTATACAGAACACTTCATGATTTTTTTGAGTCTAAGATCATTAGGGGGCATCTTCCAAACCTGGGCAGAATGCAACTGAATCCCACTTAGAATACACCCATTGAAATTTATGAATCAATCTTAGTCATCTCCACTAACGTCAATGGGGCTACTCTGAGTAAGACTAGCACTGAATTCTAGCCTGTCTTGAAAGCCACCTGCTCGGTCATGGAGTATCTGCTTCAATAATAAAGAGTGTGACCCCCAGGCATATTCAGTGTACATTTCTGCCACAGTGCAGCCACCTTCATGCACCTGAGATTTAGGAGTCAGGACTTGAAGTCAACAAGAGTGTTTTTCAAGAAAGCTTCAACTCTGGCACCTTTGTTTTGAGAAAGCACATACTGCCCTCTGATATTGACTGTTTAAAAATGTGGTTTAAGACACTGAGAGCAAGCACGTAGCGAATCAAATATTTATAGAAGAGCAAATATTCACAGGGCGAAATATCGGAAGTCAGCTCTCAAATACTATCATGCATTAATCGCATACTGTTTGATATTGTATCAAATGTCAAATGCCATAGCTGTCCACTGTCAAATGCTGTCAGAGATCCAACAGCTGGCAAACACCAAATATATCTCATCTCTGCTATCAAAAGCTGTCAGATTTCAAAGTAATATATGACATGCTCAAATTAAATATCTCCAGATGTTAAATTATAACATCGAAATTTAATATTCAGACGTTAGTTTCAGAAAGGATTGGGAAAATTTGGAGTTGGGTACACCGAACTCTCCTTCATCCTTTGTTGACCAGCAAACAAGTGGGGCATATAATAATAATAATAATAATAATAATAATAATAATAATATATTTATACCCCGCCCATCTGGCTGGGTTTCCCAGGCACTCTGGGTGGCTTCCAACAAAACACTAAAATACAATAACCTATTAAACATTACAAGTTTCCCTAAACAGGGCTGCCTTCAGATGTCTTCTAAAAGTTTTGTAGTTATTTTTCTCTTTGGCATCTGGTGGGAGGGCGTTCCACAGGACACGTGCCACTACCGAGAAGGCCCTCTGCCTGGTTCCCTGTAACTTGGCTTCTCGCAGCGAGGGAACCACCAGAAGGCCCTCGGCACTGGACCTCAGTGTCCGGGCAGAACGATGAAGGTGGAGATGCTCCTTCAGACATCAAGTATGGCACTTCCTGGTATTGGAAGTGCCCTTATAATGAGTCATAATATTGGATCATCTAACTCAGTACTGCACACACTGACTGGCTAAGGCTCTCTAGGGTCTTAGACAGAAGTATTTTTTCAGCCATACCTGAAGACACCGGGGATTGAACCTGCAACCTTTGGCAAACAAAGCAGATGTTTTACCACTGGGCTATGGTCCTGTTCACATGATCTAGCAGATACTAAATTTTTGGCCTACCCAACACTACAATGTTGTTATTAGGAAAAATGGGATAACATTGCCCATGCCAACCAGAATTCCTGAGGAAGGCTGAGATATAATTATAATAAATTCCTATGTCTAGTTTCAGGGAATTAATTCCTCCACATGTGTTGAAGGGGAAGATGTTCACATGCAGACATGCATGGGGAAGAAATTCAGTTCAGTTCTCATTTTAATGTGAATCTACCTAATTTGCATTTCCCAAAAACAACACATGCACTGAGACCAGCTATCATTCAAAAGTCACACTTCTCCAAATTTTGCACCCCACCCAAAATGTGTACCAAAAAAATGGCATATGGAGGGAAAGCATGCATAAAAATGACTACGTAATTGAAAATAACACACACAAATGCAATATATTTGGGAAAATTGATTGCAAAAATATGTATATTAGGCAACACTGCATACCAAAAAAGTGTTGTGTTAGGAGGAGGAATGCACACTCAAGTGCTGACAAGTTTCTTGCTTTATTTGGGGAAAAAATGAGCCTAAGATTAGAAGGGGAAAAAAGAAGAGAAACGTAAGGAAACCAAAATGGACAAATTTGTTCATCCCTATTGAGAATATACTTAGCCCCCAACATTTATTTACTACTGAAAAGCAAACAGATTCCCCTTTCTCAGAATGCCTATACAAATTGAATTTCTGTCCATGCACAAAATAGTTTAGCCTGCAGATGCTTGTGAATTGCTACTTAAAATACCAGCTGAGTTAGTTTACTGGGCTGACATGTGCAATAATAATTGAAAGTGATTGCTTTTCATTCTGTAACACCCTGATGGTATCATTTTACTATACTGAAACCAGGTTTCTGCCCATGTTGTAATTCTTATCTTGAATCTCCCTTTAATGGGGTAGTCACTTCCATGGTCTGTTTCTCCATGTAAAACAACCTGTTTAGTGCTTTTGGGCTCCAGAGACCCTGTAAATCACGAACTGAATATTTCCCCCTCCTCCATGTTGCATTCCTCCTCTTTCAATTTATGTTCCCCTAAGAACTGCTGCTAAAGCTACATGTGTAGAGATTAAAGGTTGGTCTACTGTGGCTTACAGACATCAAAAGCCATGAGTTGTACGCGACTGGAGTAAATTGAAAGGTACTGACTTTTGTTAGGCTACAAAAGCCTCTCATTATCATGCCAGTGGCAAGTGTACCTTCCTAGTGATCGGCGATGTCCATCAAAAGTGATAAATACAACCTCCCATGAGAATACAAGGGCTCTAATCCTTGTGGGACGTGGGGTCTTGTTGTTGTTGTTGTTTTCCACTTACAAAAGGAGGTAGAAAACAACATGAGGCAAGCTTTCAAGGAAACAGTGGATC